AGGTTTGGTATACAAATGGAGCTTGTATTCTGGGTCTTTACTGACCCAATACTTGATTTGATTGAGCCATTTCTTTCAGGAAGTCCTCCGTATCAGTCTCTGTTTTTTTGGGGTTTTTTTTTGGTTGTTGTTGGTTTCTCTTACACTGCTCAAGATTCCACAGAAAAGATTTTTTTCAGTCTCTCTCTTGATATTAGCTTTCTTTTCTTTTCTTTTTACTTTTTTTTTTTTTTTTAGATTTTATTTATTTATTTGAGAGAGAGAGAGAGCACAAGCAGGGTGAGGAGCAGAGGGAGAAGCAGATGCCCCGAAGAGCAAGGAACCTGAAGGGCTCAAACCCAGGAGTCTGGGATCCTGACCTGAGCCCAAAGCAGATGCTTAACCAACTCACTGAGCCACCCAGGTGCCCCGATAGTGGCTTTCTGCTAGGATGAGCTTTTGTCATTATTCTTTGAGCCAAGTAGGGGAAGATTGGGGGTCCACCATATTGAGTGTATAAACTTGCATTTAATCTCGTTTTCAAGTATGGCATCCTTTCACCCAATTATCCCCGATGCCTTACACTTATGCCTGTTGTCTTAAAATCCAGATGTCCTTTCTAGAAAATAAATTTCCCAGTTTTTTAAATAAACCTCCAGAGTGTGGGGGGTCAGCTGTCTGCTAGAAGGTGAGGAAAAAGAATCTGGGTTATAATTACTTCTCACCAGATTTTTGAGCAGCTCCTGGTTTTCACCTCTTCTTCATCCACACTTAGAGAGATGCTTGGTCCCTCCTATAGCCAGGACTTTTGAGAGTTCTGCTTTCTTAATCCGATTGCTTCTTAGCATTCCCCATGGCTGCCAAGAAGTCAGCTTTTTCACATCTAATGTCTGTTGCCATTTGCCCATCTGCCTTCTAGCTTCTAAAATGCTATCCTCTTCTGGCTCCTTTATCTTTTTTTTTTTTTTAATCTTCATTCTGTGTTTTGGTAAAGTTTATTGGGGGGAGGGAAAACTAAATTGTGTGTTCGGTCCCTCATTTTGACCAGTCCTCCCTGCCTCCACGTCTTCGCACATGCTCACTCTACTGGAGGTCCTGAACCTCTTCTGTTAATCCTTTGATACCATGCTCGGGTGACATGTACTTCTAATACTGTGGCCCCTGACTCAACAAAGTTACTCCTGCTCCCCTTGCTTCTAGTTCTGTCTGATCTATTTAGTTAGTAGCACATGAGGATTATAATTATTTGATTACATGTAAGTCTCCTTTGCTAGTTATACATAGTAATTCTAATCAGATTTAACAAATTGCTGCATTAGTAGAGGTCATTCTTTGATCAGTGTTAAATAATAAGTACTCTAAAAGTCATAGCACAAAGAAACTTCAGCTTGCCTCTGTCTGCTTTCCTAAAAATTTAGTTTTCAATCTCAAAACAAAAATTATTTTGAAACAATTTATTGTGAAACTTGCGTTTTTATAGAATATTGTCTTGCCACATTTATTCCCTTGACTGTAGATTTAAATTTAAATCAAAGTCGTACCAGGAAGTAGGACTAGGACATGTGCAAGAATCATGCTCAAATTAACTTTTTGGTAGTGCTAAAATTATCTTTTTGATTTTTATTAACTAATTCTATGGAGAGAAGTTTATGTCCTCATGAGATGTTATGGAATATACATTTAAATAGAAGGCTCTGGCATCCAATGTAGACAGAGATTTATTTTCTCTTATTTGAGGTAATGTGTACAAACTTAAAACATCTTGGCTTTTAATGCAGAATGATCCAGCGTAACCATATAAAGATGTCACCACATTATAGTTTGGATCTCCTGAAATATTTTACTCTGTTCTTAAATGCTCAGTTCTATTTAAAATCAAAATGATAATACACATTGATTGCTGATAATACTTTACCTTTGGTTCTTCAGCTGGATAGATCTTGTGGTTCTGGAAGAATTTATTGAGACCCTTAAGATGATAGCATCTCAGGGTTGGAAGAGAGCTTAGAGTCCCCCAAATCCAAACTTCAGGCCAGTTTACTTCAAAAAGCCTGAGATTGAAATAGCTTGAGCTACTATTAGTGAGTAACTACTTATCTAGTGACTGGATGCTTATACCTCTCTAAAATCCTCTTTTCTTCTGTTTAACTGCTCTTGTGAGTCTGTCTTGATATAAGTGACAAACCATTCTGATCCTGTTTCTGCATAGATCAGCCATAGTTTTACACAGGCTCTCATTTCATTTTATTTATTATTATTTTTTTGAGTATAGTTGACATATAGTGTTGTGAGTGTCAGGTGTATAACAGAGTGGTTCAGTAACCCTGTATGTTACACTATGATCACCGCAAGTGTAGCTACCATCTGTCACCACACAACACTGTTACATTACCATTGACTATTTCTTACACTGTGCCTTTTATCCCTGTGACTTATTCATTCTGTAACCGGAAGCCTGTATCTCCTACTGCCGTTACCCCATTTTGCCCATCCTTCCTCTCTGGCAACCATTAGTTTGTTAATTCTCTGTATTTATAGATTAGTTCTGCTTTTTGTTTGTTTATTCATTCTGTTTAAAGTTTTTATTTATTTATTTAACACAGAGAGAGAGAGAGAGAGCGAGAGAGAGAGCGCACGCACAAGCAAGGGGAGCGAGCAGCAGGCAGAGGGAGAAATAGATTCACAGGGAGCCCAACATGGGGCTCGATCCCAGGACCCTGGAATCATGACCTGAGCTGAATGCATGCTTAACTGACTGAGCCACCAGGCGCCCCTATTCATTTATTTTTCAGATGCCACACATAAGTATTTGTCTTTCTCTGTCTGACTTTCTTCACTTAGCCTAATGTCTTGTAGGTCCATATATGTCGTAAATGGCAAGATCTCATTATGGCATTGTGTGTGTGTGTGTGTGTGTGTGTGTGTATGTACACACAGCATGTCATCTTTATCTATTCACCTCTCAGTGGACACTTGGGCTGCTTCCATATCTTAGCTATTGTAAATAATGCTGCAGTAAATGTAGGGGTGCATATATCTTTTTGAATTAGTGTTTTCATTTGTTTGCCGATATATCCAATAAGGGGTTAATATCCAAAATATGGAAAGAACTTATACAACTCAACACCAAAAAACAAATAATCTAATTAGAAATAGGCAGAGAACCTGACTATGCATCTTTGCAAAGAAGACATACAGATGGCCAACAGATACATGAAAAGATGTTCAACATCACTAATCATTAGGGAAATGCAAATCAGAGCCACAATGAGATATAACCTTATGTCTGTCAGATTGGCTAAAATAAAAAAGACAAGAAATAACAAGTGTTGGCAAATATGTGAAGAAAAAGAAAACCTTAGGCACTGTTGCTGGGAATACAAATTGGCATGCCATTGGGGAAAACAATATGGAAATTCCCCCCAAACTTAAAAATAGTAATACCATATCATTCAATAATTCCACTGCTAGGTATTTCCCAAAGGAAAACAGGCTTTCATTTTAAATAATGTATAGAAGAGTAGCTTCTACATAATGTATATGACTTGCCACAGTTCATAATTTATTATAATGCTGGCTCAAAATTGCAAGCATTTTATTTTCATGTTTTACATTGTTTCTAAATTAAAAAAATGCAAGTGACACACAGATCTTCAGTAATTATCATTTATCATGATCTTATTTATGACTACCACATTCTACAAGAAAGAAACAAAGAACCAAAAGATTGAAAGGAACAAACATACCGATGGTAAAATGCTCATTCATCTTCGGCACTTGGTGTATATAACACTTCATCATTGTGTTGTTCATCAAACCTATTCTGAATCTATTTTTTTAAAACCAAATATGAGTGTTTAAAGTTTAACTAAGCTTTGCTACTTAGGTGAGGGATCTAGGAACCATTATAGGTTTCTAGTGTTTTTTGAGGAGTAAAATGTAGATGCAACTGGAAAGTACTGCAGGAGGGTACAAAGTTTTATTTCAGACATGAGCCAATAAAGTTGAGCTATATAATTATGTTTAAAAGCAAGAAAACCATTTTGTGGTCTATGAAAGCTTATATGTCCAAGTAATAAAAGTAGAACTGGAAGTTTCTATGACCCTGGGCCATGATAAGGAAAAACTGTCTTCATGTAGGTAAATTTTACATTAATTTTGTCTAGCACCTTTGGGACCCACCCCTGATTATTATAGGTAGGAAGCCAATTAAAAGATGCATAACAGCAGATTTTAATTGCTATTAACTGTCACTTTTTCAGATCGAAGATTAAAAGGTTAAATTCCAGATGTATTGAAAACATCATTATGACCACCACTAATATCAGCAAGCATTTACTGCGTGCTCGCTTTGTGTAGAGGGATCAGTAATAGGTTTCAGAGTCCCTAGAGTAATTAGGTGGAAGACTATAATAGCACTTAGTACTGTTTTATCTCACACAGTACAACTATTTTACAAATGAGGAAACCGGTATACAAAATAATTTCTGTAGGGGCACCTGGGTGGCCCCAGTTAAGCATTTGGCCTTTGGGCTTAGGTCATGATCCTGGGGTTCTAGGATTGAGCCTGGTGGTTGGTGGGGCTCTCAGCAGGGAGTCTGCTTCTCCCTCTCCCCCTCCCCCTGGCTTGTGCTCTCTCCCTCTCACTCAGTCTCTCTCAAATAAATGAATAAAACCTTAAAAAAAATTTCTCTAAATTCATCCAGCTAGTAAACGGCTGAGCTGGAATCCACATAAGAATCCAAACCCCATGCTCTTATTCATTAAATCACCACATTAAGTCACAGAATCTTTTTGGAAAGTGATCAGGAATAGTACTGAGCTGCTATCCTAAAATACTGATGTCAGTAGCCTGAGAATTTCACCTCACCTCTAAGCACGGGGTCAGCCAACTGCAGGTTCCCTTTTTGTACCAGTTACCCTGTTGTGCAACGAGTTCAAGATGTGAATAAAGATTCCAGGTGTCGAGTTTGGCAGGATCTGATTCAGGCTTACTCAAGGCTATTTCTTACCTGTTTTAGGAACAGCGTCTGTGGCAGTAGCAGGCATCCTTGCGGCTCTTCGAATAACCAAGAACAAACTGTCTGATCAAACAGTACTGTTTCAAGGAGCTGGAGAGGTACCTGCTTATCCAAGACTTACATTTCCTTAAATTAATGAATAGAGTTTATCTTAATTATTCATTAATTAGAAGTTTGAGATATCTTTCATATTTTTAGTGTTTTGCAACTATAGGTTTGTTTGTTTGTTTGTTTTAAGATTTTATTTATTTATTTGACAGACAGAGATCACAAGTAGGCAGAGAGGCAGATAGAGAGAGGGGGAAGAAGGCTCCCTGCCGAGCAGAGAGCCCGACGCGGGACTCGATCCCAGGACTCTGGGATCATGACCTGAGCTGAAAGCAGAGGCTTTAACCCACTGAGCCACCCAGATGCCCCCCAGCTATAGGTTTTTTTGAAAGATACCGCAGTTAAGTATTGAGGCTTATTCATTTGTCTTAGGAGGCTTTAGTATAGAAGTATAGTGATACTTTCCACAATCTTAAATTTCTAGAGATTATCAAATGGTGGCGTGGTCTTTTGTTTTGCATATTTGCAGGAACAAAAAGTTTACATTTTGTGATTATGTATAAAAGCCTGTAAGGAGGGGCGCCTGGGTGACTCAGTGGGTTAAGCCTCTGCCTTCGGCTCAGGTCATGATCTCAGGGTCCTGGGATCGAGCCCCGCATTGGGCTCTCTGCTCAGTGGGGAGCCTGCTTCCCCCCACCCCGCCGCCTGCCTCTCTGCCTACCTGTGATCTCTGTCTGTCAAATAAATAAATAAAACCTTAAAAGAAAAAAAAGCCTGGAAGTATTTAAGCTCTTATATCTGACACTTTTAGTATCCTCTGGAGGCACCTATTAGGGTTTTCTTAATTTGACTCACAAGTCAGTGTGCACATATATAACTACATACGAGTTTTTAAGAAAGAAATATTTGAATTGGAGACTTGTTGTGCATTGTTCCCATGCAAAAGAAGCAAAACATTTACAATTGCTGGAAGGAGATGGCAGGGAGGCAAAAGTGGGCTGTTTTTTGTTCTCTTTTGTTATGAGTTAATCATTTGAAAGAAGAAAACTAGACTCCAATGATAATTCACCCCCTAAAATAGAAATTGAAATGTCAGTTGAGTTTGAGCTTCTTGTGAGAAAGCTGCCCAAATCTGTTTAGAATTATAGAATGTAATGAATGGAGAAATACTTTTGTGTTATATAAGAAGCTTCAGATTTTTAAGTTGAATATTATTAAATGAATTATACTGGTAGAAATTGTGTATATTGTGTTAGTTTTGATTTTACTTGTTCTTAAAATGAAATACGCAAAGCTAAAACTTAAATGCCAAGATATAAACATGTCAAAGTATTCAGAATGTAAATTACAAGTTCATTTTCACATCAAAATAAAAATCAAGGCTAAATTACATCTTATTAAAATTTGAGGAGTTTTTTTTGTTTGCTTTTTTGTTTGTTTGTTTTTGAGTTTTTTATTTGTGTGGCTGTTACATGCTGTATTTACTTTTAGTCAACTTATTTGAGTTCAAATTCTTTAAATTTCCAAAGGGTTTTTGATGAATGGTACAGGCCACTTCTTGATACTCAGCAGGGCAGAGGTATTCATGGTTGGATGATTCAAAACTGATGCTTGTTTGTCCCTGAAAGGGTTTTGGATGTTCACAGATTATCACAAAATTTATCAAATACCAAAGAAGTTGATTCCTTTAATCTTGCAAGAGATTTCACAGTACTTTCTTTGTCCAAATTAACAGAATAAATAAATGCTTGGGGACAGAGAATTTATGTGTTTTATTCTGTTGCCTAATTGGTCAAGTTCCCATCCAAATGACCAGGCTTCATTCTTCAAATTCAATTAGAGGAGCTGGAGCCCAACAATAAACAATACAGTCCAATAAGCAAGGCTGACCAGGCCATTCTTTTAAGCTCAATATTTTCTCGTTGGAGCAAATCTTAATTGCATTAACAGGATTAAAGTAATGACAGTCAAGGATATCACTGGTTTATCTGTAGCTAAAGAACAAACCACATAATAGTGGTTCTGTTGTGATAAGAAGAGTAAATAATTGTTCATTAGCTTACTCCAAAATGTGACAAAAATACTTTGCTCCCAGTATAAATGAAGGAATATAGCTGTTTAAGTCAGTGAAGCTATTTTGTTTTTTCTTATTAACAAAGATAAAATGAAGGGAAACGTAACTCTTGATAAGTTATAATGTGGAACAACTTTTCAAAGTTTTGTTTTCATAATGTCCTTCTCAGGCTGCCTTAGGGATTGCACACCTGATTGTAATGGCCATGCAAAAAGAAGGTTTACCAAAAGAGAAAGCCGTGAAGAAGATATGGTTGGTTGACTCAAAAGGATTAATAGTTAAGGTAAGAATTTGACATTTCCATCTGAAGAAAAATTAATGTGCTATTCTGGGTGCCCATCTCAAAGATTACTACTACTTTTACTCATCTTACCCCCAACACTGTGTTAAAAGACTAGCCATTATACATGAATGACCATGTCATACAATGACATTGATACTCTTCTGAAAAAGAAGACTGGCTCAGCTACAGAAGCAGCCTGTGAAGTACAGGGGCCCCTTACAATTCTGTAGGTTGTCAGTGCATTTGAATTAGTTTCCAGATGAGGCAGTTTGATGCTGAAACACCTAGGTTAGCTCCTTTTATTAAGGGCTATCTGTCAAATTGCACATTAGCTAGGAAAAAAAAAGAACAGATGATGAAATAGCTACTCTTTTGCCTGCTACTTTCTCTGGAATAAATTCTTGAGGGTTTGAATGGGAATTCTGAATACCATTTTAATAAATGGGCTGTTCAGTGTTAACTACAAGGTTGTTTCCCAGCTCTAATAAAGATAACAGGACCTACTTCTTAGGTTATTGTGAGAACCAAGTAAGACTAGGTAGGTTGACCATATTGCTACATAGTTATATGGCACTCATATTACTTATACATTAATATTACTTCTAGTTATAAGACATTAATATTACTGCACATTAAGTGCTCTTCCCTAAACTGCCAGAAAAAAAACTTGTGAATTCCCTTGCTACCTGAAGGTGAATTTGTAAAATAACCAGTGATCAGCATAGACTTCTGGAATTTAGTATAGAAGCAAATGTGAAGGTATACAAACTTTCTGGAAAACTGGCTTTTGTGTATCCAAAACCTTTAAAAGTTTATGTTTCTGAGCCAATAGTTTCCATTGTAAGAATATATTTTATAGAGATAGAGAAATACACAATGTTTTATGTTTTAGTTCTTTTCATTTTTGAAGTTTTCATTTAAACTCTAGTTAGTTAACACTCAATGTAATAGTAGTTTTGTATGTACAATGTAGTGATTCAACACTTACATACACCTGTTACTCATCACAAGTACACTCCTGAATCCCCATTATCCATATCACCCATCCCTCACCAACCTCCCCTGTAGTAACCATCACTTTGTTCTCTGTAGTTAAGAGTCTCTTTCTTGCTTTGCTTCTCTGTCTCTCTTTTTTTCTCCTTAAATTTCTCTCTTTTTGTTTCTTAAGTTCCACACACGAGTGAAATCATATGGTATTTGTCTTTCTCCAACTTACTTATTTCAATTAGCATAATAATTGTTTAGCTCCATCCATGTTGCTGCAAATGGTAAGATTTCATCCTTTCTAATGGCTGAGTAATATTCCATTACATATACATATACATACTTTTTTTTAAAGAACTATGACATTAAAGACTTACCAATATAATGTTAGATGAAAGAAGGAAAACGCCATGTTATATGTTATTATTTTATATTTTAAAAAATGAGTTGTGGGGTCTATTGCCTGGCTCAGGTGGTTAAGCAGCTGTCTCTCGATTTCAGCTTAGGTCATATCTCAGGGATTGAGCCCCATATCAGTCTCCATGCTCAGTGGGGAGTCTGCTTCAGATTCTGTCTCTCCCTCTTCCTTTGCCCCTTCCCTACCTCTGCTTGCATGCATGCACACTCACACTCTCTCTCTCTCTAATAAATAATAAATCTAAAAAACATTGAGTTGCACATAAAATTATGAAAGTAAATGTATAAAATATGTATTAGCTTAAAACATATTATTTTTAATGCCTTTCTATATATTCCAAATCCTCCTAAGCAATTATGTTCTTTTAAAGCTAGAAAAAAAGTTTTAAACTAATATAGACAAATTTTGCCTTAATAAAGAGTGTATGTATAACTTTTTGTGGCAAGTGAGTATAAGAAAGTAAGATAAGACAGGAAGTACTTTTACAATATCTCCTGAGAATCAAATAATAATCATTTTATTAATTTTATTAACTTGAAATGTAATTTTTTACAATATAAGAAAAACATAAAGTTTAAAATTTTTTGGCTTAAAAACTGCTATAGCTTTGAAGAATCAGCATAAATAGAAAAAGTTATACATTTTGGGCACACAATTTATATCATGATCATGAAATGAGATTTGCTGAATGAAATTTCCTCCTGGTCAAGGATCGTACTAGACTCTGGGACTCAGTAAATCCCTTGATCTCAGGAGGCTCACAGACTAGTGGGAAAAAATCAAGCTGAAAGTTATGTCTCTATATAAAAGTGTTATAGAAATACGTTCTTGCTACCAGGGGTGCCCTGGAAATGAAGTTCCCAGCTACACTGATGAGAAGAATGGGCCTGCGGAGGAGGGTTCCTAGAAAAGGTGTTTCTTCACCTCAGTTTGAAAGGAAGAGTTAGGAGTTCTTGAGTCTCCACAGATGTCTTAAATGTCTCCTATCTGAAAGTGAGACAAGGGAATTATTATGGAAATTTCACTAGGAGATCTTGGCTGAACCTGTGATCATGTCTTTCATCTCTCTGTGTCTTCAAAGCCTTGCATAGTGTCTAGCACATAATTGGCAATAAATATTTTGTTAATAAATAAATTGATTGATGAATGGCCTTCCAGGCAGAGGAAGAGTATTTGCTAAAGAGGATAGTTCACTATAAAAGACATTTAGGGCTTAGATTTGAAAGGAAGCAGATGACTGACCAGTGACAAAAGATCTTCTAAATCCTGACAATGAACAATTGAAGAAACTTATGCAGAGAGGCTTAGTGTCTTGTCACTCTAGGCATTGTGGAGGATGGATTGAAATGAGGGAAAACGGAGTAAAGGAAACTAGTTACAAAGCTGTTGTAGTAATAAAAATTCATTGGTGCCTGAAATAAAGCAGTAATTATGGGGGGTGAGTGAAAGACATTTAATTCAATAGATGTTTAGTAAACAGGACTGGCATACTTAGTAACCACTAAATATGGAGGGAGGAATAGGGTAGGGTGGTATAGGCAGGAACCTAGCAGGACTCCTTGGGTGTCTGGATAAATGTTGTGGCCACTACTGTAGAAAAAGAATAACAAAGAGATCATGTTTAAGAGAAAGATAATGTAATTCAGCTTGGACATAGCAAGTTGAAGTTACCTTTGCAGATCTCATGGAGATGTCCCCTTGGCAATCAGAGGTATAAGACAGACACTCAGGATAAGGGTCTTGGCTTCTGCAGATAGAGATTTTGGGAGTATCTGCATGTAAAAAGTTGGAGCCATGGAAAAAAAGATATACAAATTACATTATATTTAGGGATGTAATACATGTAAATATCTAAAAAAAAAAAAAGTGGAAGTCTGTGATTGTGGATTTCTTTTGTGATTTCTAATGACATCTTTATGTGAAATCTTTATAGAAAATATACAGATTTTAGCATCTCAAATAATTTTAGTATAGATTTACTGAAGTGAGACTCCAAATTCTGTGGATTACAATACTTGGAATAACTGTGAAGTTTGTTGCCTAGACCTAATCAGTCACTCTTACCTCATGCCTTTTACTTGCCAAAATAAAGAACTGCATATATTCTGCTTGCCAAGATAAAGTTACATTTTAAAAGACTGTTATATATTTAACAGCTTATGCGCTATTTAATATAAAAGAAGAATGAAGCTTCAATTAACCACTTTTTCTTTCAAGTTTTTAAAAAGTCAAAATTATTATGTTGATTTTTGTTACAGAACTAGTAAGTCTGAGGATAACTTGTAAATTAGTGTAATCTTGCTTTTAGATATACATGATTTTTTGTTTGTTGTCCTTTATACTTAATACTTTCACGACCTCTCCTGAAAACCAATAAGAATCATTTTATTAATTTTATTTATCTGTCATGTAATTGTTTATAATACATAACATATAATAAACTCCTTCACTTTTTAAAGACATAAAACCAGAAACTAAAAAGTATACTGTGTGGTTGCCTCATTTATGGAGTTCTAGCATCATCAGACCAGGTGATAATTATTCTGGCAGTGAAATGGCATTGGCAGTCTGCAAGGAGGGCCCTGTCTACAGATGCATGGAGGGGCCCAGTTAAACTCTGATAAACTGATCACCTGACAGCAGAACTGGCCAGTGCAATGGGGCAAAATATCCAAACAGGCATGAATTCTAAGAGAAAGCAAAAGAAAACCCTTGTGGAAGAAGTCTTCTAGTGCCTGTGTGTAGGAAGGAATAAATATTTATCAGTAACAATCCATAGTTAATTTTTTCTATCTATCCTGGGCCATGAAATGCTAACCCCAAATCTTGAGGTCTTTGCTACCTATCCTTTCCACCCACACCAGGACATCTGTGCTTTTGAAAAAGGTAGTAATTCAATATGTTTAGCTATATCTTCTCTCCTCTCCTAAGAATCAGCACAAAATAAGGGGTAGGGGAGATTGAAGAAATAATAACACTCAAAAAAAAAAAAAAAAATCTCAGCTATCCATAATACATTTGGTATAATTAAAGACTCTTTAAAAACACACACACAGGATTTGGGATTTCTATAATAAGAAATGCCCATGTTCACTTTGCCAAAAGAAGGCAAAAAGTGTTTCAGTAAGGGATCCTGGAAGTGGGATGAATAGACAAGAAATCTTCTATATCCATATCCAACGGACAGGAGTAGCATAAAGAATATGGACTCCAAATCAGATTTTGAAAGAAGGAGGAAAATGAGCCATTGGTGTGGAAAATAGAAGTCTGAAGGTGTAGGCAGTTGCCTTAATACTGCCAGACCTAGAGGTCCCATTCCAGTATTTTCTTCATCTAAACCAGTTCTTCAAATAGACTTTGAAAATGGTACAGCAGTACTGGAGAGACCTTGCTTTTTGTCTTTTGATTCTTCTGTTTTTGGCAAGTAGAGGCTTTCAGTAGTGCTTGTATTCCATTTCATGATTCCTGGCCTTCCTAAGTCACCAGAAAGAATCAAGCCTTTGGGGGAGAGACTGTGGGTAATCTGTGTTTCTTACTGGGTAGATGTCTTCTGGTCAACATCTGGCTTTGGCTGGCTGGGAGCTGTCTGTGCTGTTGC